CTTTTTTTTTTTTTTTATGATCGGCATTTCTTCTTTTGATTTCTTGAAGGTTTGAAGTGAAGCTGTTTTTGATTTTGAACTTATCGGATTTACATTGCCATTATCGGTATTGCACACAAATTACCGGATTTAAAACATGCTTACCGATTTTGACAGTTTTCAAATTGAATTGACCTTATCGGATTTGATCAATCTTACCGGATTTACATTTCCATACCGTATCTGGCATATACCAGATTTACAATAACATACCGGATTTGCATAGAGGTCACCATATTTGATATGCACATACCGTATATGTTTCTAGCTTACCGGATTCGCAAGGGTGTTACTGGTTTTTAAAGGAAAAAACAGGGCACTTACCGGATTCGCACTCAACACACCGTATTTGCAATACTCTCCCCGTATTTGCATAATACTCATCGGATTTGCCCATAAACTCTCTGTTTTTCTCTCCTTTTTTCAACTTTTTTCAACACTCTTTCAGCTGATTTCTTCCACTTTTTTGATGCTAAGGATTAGTTTTTCAGCTCTAATTTTCAAAAATAAGTTTTTCAACTCTAAATCCTTGCAAAAAACACACCAGATTTAACCCCATCTCAGCTTCATTTTTTTCACCAGTTTCCTCTGTTTTTTTTCAGCTTTTCCCAGCTTCTTCTTCTTCTTTTTTTTCAACCCCAGGTCCCTTTTCTAAGATCATTGTTGCTCTGATACCATGTTGGATTTCACTGATATAAAGCTTTATCAAGAGATCTCTTAAAAATATATTTGGATTGTGTATGGAGGAGTGTGAAAGATTATCAATAAACATACATACTGATTTGTAAACTAACTGGTTTTATCATGAACAAAACATATGAAAATAAACATAAATCACTCTGTTGGTTTTTAGACCAGAACAGAGGAAAGGAAAATTCTTTGGGGACTACATCTTCCTTAAACGTTTTTCTTCTATATTTCCTTCATTTTTTTGTTTATACAACTTGGCTCTATTTATAGCCAACATTTGATAGATATTTACTAGATATTTCTACTATTTAACAATCCACTTGCATATAACTAGCTTAATCTTTCTATCATTGCATAGTTAGATTTTAACCAAACTAAGTAACTAAATATTCAACCAAGAATAGAAAAAAACATGACAACAAAATGTCACAATTCCAACACTTATAATTTGGTGCTAGAATTCAATACCGGTATTGTATTTTGAATAGTTTGTGTTTTGAGGGGCTGATGTACCATGTTTTAAATTATATGTACATATTTTAGTAAATTTATTATTGTTCAGGTAGTTTTAATCTATATTACAAAGGAATCTTTGTCAAAAATTTTATAAAAATATGTCACAGTCAAAGCAGCTCGATGGTGGGTTTGGCACTTAGTTGGTATCTACCATCAGCGCACGCCACGTGTCGAGTCCACTAGGGTGGCTTAAGATGAGTCGTGTCAGTACCCTGACTGATCCCACTTTATATCTCACCATTGTTGAATGTCTGGTTTAACTCACCATCACACGTTCCGATATTGCTTATGCTCTTCACATTGTTTTTCTATTTGTTTTAGCTCCTACTATTGTTCATTGGGCTTCTACTATTTTTATTTTGCGCTATATTCATGGTACTTCATTTCAGAGTCTTTTATTTCCATCAACCTCATTTTTAGTGCTCCGTGCCTACTATGATCCTGATTGGGCCAGTGACCCCACTAACCGCAAGTCCACTATAGGTTTTTATATATTTTTGGGTGATTTCTTTATCTCTTGGAAGAGTAAGAAACAAACTATTGTTTCTCGTTCCTCTATTGAGGTAGAGTATCGTGCTATGTTATCCACCATTACTGAGATTATGTGGTTGCATCGGTTACTGGCAGGTATGGGTGTCACTTTATCCTCTCCAACCCTTATATATTGTGATAATAAAAGTGCATTCAGGTATCTCACAGCTTTGTGTTCCATGAGTGTACAAAGCATATTGAGATTGACTGTCTTTTGATTCTCCATCATTTATAGACGGTACCATTTTCCTACCTTTTGCTTCTTCATCGTTACAGCTTATTGACTTCTTCATGAAATCTCATACAATTCATCATTTTCGCTTCTTGCTTGACAAAATCTCACTGCTTCTTGATGTAGCATCATGACTTTGAGGGGGATGTTAGTCTTATGTAGCATTATAGCTTAGTATTTAATTTAGGTATAATATTATTAGTTTCCTTCTTTTGTAGGTTTCCTTTTTGTTTGCACTTCTTGTAGTATATAAACCTTCTCTTTGGATTGATTCAATATATTGGTTCAAAGCAGTTCATATTATTAACATAATTATCATCCCTTTGCGATCAAAGTGCCAAAGCATCATGATCGAAATGCGTTCAAACACAAATGTAGTAAGAAATTTCCATTTCCATGTTGTCGCACTAGGTGACCCCATGCAATCACATGGTTTATATAAACATTATAGCACGTGTTTCATACCACGTATACTTTTACGACAAATATTGGTGAATAGATCCCTACTTTCTCATTTTGTCTAACCTTGTGGTTTTTATAACCTCATACATACCCTTATGACTTTTAACTGTTTTTTAAGATTTTAATTCAGTGTTGCTACTATAGCATGTTACCAATGACTATGATTGATTTGGTTTGATAGGATACGTCTAGGAAAGTAGCTGATTTAAAGTTGAAGGACTCGAGTAGACAAAAGGAAACTATTTTGACCAACATTTATATTTTTATTGACTGTCCGGACAATTGTGCTTAACCATCTAGGGTGTAGAACATAACTGTAAATATAATGATACAATGTGGGGTTCAAGTATGTTGCATAAATACTTGAGGGATAAAAAATACTTGAATTAATGTTGAAAAATGAGTTTTGGGTATAACGAGATGTAATGTTCATCTAGTAAAGTTACTATATATCCTCACAGAATTTATTGTATCATGAGATCTAATATCAATTGCTAGTTGCATGATATA